ATATAATATATAATATAATAATATATAATATATAATAATAGTCAAAATTAAATTTGTTTACCTTTTCGCAGTAAAAAAAAGATATGACGAAAACGGGCTTATGGCTTATTCATCGATTGATGTAGATATACATACATATGTACATGTAGATACCTTGTTTTTGTGGAATGCCAAAAATGACGAAAATTTATAAATATTTTCGGGAAAACTCATAAAGTTCTTATTTGGATTACGTACTTCATCAGCGAGCAGCTAAATAAACAATTCATAAAACAAATGCATATTTTCGAAACACTTCTGTAAAATATTTACAGCGTAATTTATCTTCTACCCGCTTATATATATTATAATCGTGTGTTTCTACAAGAGATGTAACGGATATTCGGTAGCTATTCGGTTTTCGTGATTTCCGGCCCAAATTTGTCATTCCACCGGAAACCGGATATTGTGTAACTATCCGGTATATTGCCGGCCGAAAAGTTTCTTAAAATTATGTTAAGTAAAAGAATCTTCGTTAATTTTAGAAAAAACGTTCTCTTAGTAAAAGTAATAAATTTAATACTCAACATAAATTCATCATTGTTTTCTTTTGTTTGAATGGAAACAATAATAGCTTAGAGTGGGCCGACTATGCACAAATTCAACTAGAATTGCTCATTTGAAAGGTTTGGCCTTAAACTTCTTTTTTAATGCAAGCTTTTTATTGGAAGCTTTCATTTCTTTTAAAGAGTGGTCTTTAGGAATAGATTTATTTTGGTGACAACGAGACAATGGACTTGTTACCCGGCCGCCGGATATTCGGCCAATCGGCGAAACACCATCCGTTACACCTCTAGTTTTTATATTTTCAGCAATCGCTGTTTCAATATACCTGTGCAATCGGGTCTGTTTACCGAAGGTCATTAGTATTTTTTCAATAATCACCTTGCTGACGTTTATGCATCGGCAAGTTCAATGCTTGTTTCTTCTGCCTTTATTTGTATTTTTATTTAGCAGAGCAAAAAATTGCGTTAAACCATAATGGCGCGCCAAACAGACAGACATGCATACGCGAGCTAAACATACGGACCTCCAAAAATACACAAAAATACATAAAAACACCTGTAGAAATGAAATGAAATGAAAAGCTGAAAGACGCTCTTAGCCTCCACTGAGCGTACACACAACTATGCTAAAATTAATTACAGACAATTTCCCAACGATCACCTCTTCCAGCGTTGGGCACTTGTTCGCTGTCCCGCTGGCTTTCAGTTCATTTATTTATCCCACTTCGATTCAATTGAAATCTTTTAAAAATACATACCGAAATTTTTCACTTAAATAAGCTATTCAATATTGGAAATGAATTGCGTTTACTTTTTGAACCCTGAGAAATCTGAACTAGTAATTACTAAAAATAGCATAAAAGGTTTAGCTTAAGAATTGACAAGTTTTCAAGTAGAAATTTAAATCTATTATCTAATGAAGTTTTATATGGCAACATTTTCTAGAATTTGACTTTGACAAATATCCAGCAATGAAATGTGAAAATCTCCACAGCACCAGTTTCGAGTTTTATTGATATGTATGTACATATCGATTGATATTGAAAATTTTGAATTTCAATACAGTGAAGGGTATATTTCCTTCGGAAAAATAAATTACCTTGATTTTTTTGCTATTCTTTGGATTTGCTTAAATTGTATTGGGAAAGTAAACTCACACAAGAATTTAATTAAAAAAGAAAGACCATTGGTATCCAGCTGTGACTCACTAATCGGCAGCCGTTCATTTGAAATTCAGTGCAGATATATATATATTAAAAGCCACAAGTGGCCTGTGGTTTTCAATTAAATACTCGTTGGTACCTATAGCACACAAAGTTATGTACATGCATATGTATGTATGTACATTGGATAGTCGAACAAATCCTTTCGAATTTGCACACCAAATTTCAAGACCTTTAATATTCCAACCAAGTACAATATGTCATTTTGATCGACAATCCTTTGCCATTTTTATGACAGAACCATAACAAACTTTTGTGATTTCTGTGCGAGACACTGAATCAAATGATTTGCAGAGACATCCTTTGAATTAAACCCTTAAAATAGTTCTGCAGATTCCAGAACAAATTATAATATGTAGGTGATGGGTTCAGGAAATGAGGAAAATGGATGCATTCCTAGCCGAACTGTCCCAATTCTTGCCAAGTCAGCAAGCTTGTGTTTGACCTGGCGTTGTCATGAATAATGATGGATCTATTGATAGACTTTTTCAATCTTCTCCTCTAATCTGCGTGGTGGTTGATAGTAGATACTAGTTTCTGAATTATAAACGCAACAGAAAATTATTTCATTATTCCTTACTGGATAGATTAATCCGAGCCGGAAGTGAAATGTACGAAACTAACCTTGAAACTCTGCAATGCTGGCAGAGCCTCTTCACATGCAAGCTGCGACAAATGTAACCCACTCATAATTGAGATGTAAGAAAATGCCGTGAAATGGTTGTAACCTCTTTTTATTCCATTTTGTGCTTTATATAGGCTCCATACATTTGCAAGCCAAATATTTCATTATAAATTCGATTAATATTGGACAAAAAAGGTCGAATCAGTCATCGATCACCATTTCGCTTTAGTGGCTGATCACTAAATGAGTGATACCAAATCTATTTATCGTACGACCCGTGAGATATCCAGTTTAAACACTCGGCGTTAATATACTGCATATGTATATACATATATACTTACCTATGTCGGCTGAATAAATCGGTGGTTAACCGACGTAAAATCAGCTATCTTAGATGAAAATATTTTTCTGATTATGAACGATTAAATGCGATTATTTTTGATTATTTCCAATTATTTTTGATATATTTTTTTTCAAATGTAATTGTAGCGAAAACTACAGTACAGATAATTTGAGCCAAGATTTTAAATGTTATTTCTTTGCCTCGGCAATGGAGGATTTTTTATGCAGTTGAAATCATCCATCTACCAAATTCTATTAAGAAAACAACTCGCAACTTGCTAACGGAGGGATTAAGGAATAACCCCATAAAAATGTCTGTATGGAAAAAAACACCATAGATGTATGTATGACTCGTGCTTTCGTATATCCTATTATTTTGCCAATTGCTAAACTATTTTGACAAGTAAATTGCGTACAAAGTCAGGTAGGCAGTAAAGCAATATAAGATCTTCAAAAGAAATTATTTCCAATATGTTCTGAAATTCATAAATATTTTGAAAATGTGTGTATTTACATAAATACATTAATACTTCGAACAGGAATTTTCTATTTGCTTGCTGCAATGTTATTTATGAAGATATATGGGTGTATAAGTAATGCATTCGCGTTCTTGGCGCGGTATTTGAATTTACTTTTTTGTGGATATGTCAAAAAGTATTCATTCTAAATCATATTTGTAACGGTTTGAAAAATGCACAAAACTTAACTGATGTTTGCTACTTGCAAATACACATAGAAATGTACGAGTATGCAAAAATGCAAATGTTCTGGACAGAAACTGTCGATAACAATGACTTCCTTAGATGATTTTTGAAGAATTCAAGGATATCTCACACCCTAAAACTATGGGAATCGCAAGAAAAGACTGCCTATCATCATATGAAAGGCCTGATTTGTAAACCCCAAGCACTTTCTATTAAATTAAGACTTAGCCTCGTTATCCATGATTTTATATCTCCAGTCGTACAGCGCACAAATTTAAGCCAACAACGGAAGTTGTGTCATTTCTGTGTAGACTGTTTTAGTTCTATTTCATATGTTATCATAAGAGGCTAGACATCGGCTACGGTTGATAACAGTTTTAACAATTCTTTTGATGTATTTCTTGAAAATTCGCCCATGAAGTGCTAAATCCAAGAAGTCCCCCATCTGGCCCATATTCGCTACGTCATAACTGGATTTGTATTAAAACAAGCAAACTATAGATACAAGTATCTTCATCTTTTTCCCCAGATTTCTTCAGAACTGATCAGTCCCCCCAAAAAAATTGATTTGATGCTTATAAGTCCAGCTAAACGCTCAATTATTAAAGAACAAAACGTAGTTTTTCAAGAGGCAGAATGTATGATTAAGGTAATTAAGGACACCATACAGACCTTCTCACGTTGACTAAAAGCTTAAACAGACGGCAGCGTTGATCCGGATTAACTCGGACTTAGTCCGGATGAACTGCAGTTAATTCCCCAGTTGATCCGGATCAACGCTGCCGTCTATTTATGCTTTAAGGCCCCGTTAAGAGTATGTCCAATTAAGTCATGTATAACCTAATATCCTAGTTAAATTCCACACAATCTTTAAAAGAGGCACACTTCAAAAATCAGATCCAAAGATATAACTGCTTGTGGATCGTACTGATGCAATGCAATTAATACAAAAGCAGGTATAATGCCTAATTGAAGATAAATAAATCTACTAAATTTTTTATTTTTATTTTTTTGAGTTATGCCTCTTTTTACTATTTTTCGTGTTTACCGTTTTTTACTCAGTGTCCCGGGCCTGCGATTTGGCTCCGTTAGAAATTTTAGTGGGATAATATAAAAAATATTCCCCTTTCGCTAACTTATGCCGATTTCATTTCTACTGAAAAATGCAGCCTTCACTTGGCCCTCTACGCACAAACATTAAGAACACGGCGATGAGAAGGCAACATTTTTTGTAGAAACGAAAACCGCCCATTAATTTCTATCATAAAATCAATTCGATTATTAGTAATGAAACACAATTTTTATTAAAAAAATTTTTTGGGTAATGCAAATAAAGGCATTAAATGACAATGTTGGGCATAAATAAATAGTCGTGTCATTACGTTAAAAAAATAGTCATTAAATTCATTTCCACGTGGCATTTTTTAAATGCCACCAATTTTTTGCCATTTCGATGCCTGGCGGAACTTCGACATAAGAATATAAATACTCACTACATATTCAAAAATTATTTAATTATGAATACAAAATGTGTGTTGCCTTTTGAAAAAGCAATACCAACCTTGACAGTGCAGCGCCACCAAAATGAAGCAAATTCCGGTGAAGCAAATTTTTAAGTTGCTTTCCATTTCGTACAGTTTTGGCTTTTACTTAAGGTCGCGTAAATTTCACTTACTTCCGGCTAACTAACGAAATGGCTGGCAGGTATACTTCCGTTCGATAGTAAAGTCACAAGATGACCTTCAAAAATAGAACTCAGCTATTTATTTCTTAGGTTTTGTTTTTATTTTCTGTATTTCTGCAGCTCAATATTTCGATTGAGGCATACAAAATGTTATTTCGTTTCACTCTACAAACTAATTATACATAAATATATTCCGAAATGTACTATTTATTCTCCAAACATTCGCCCCGACAATATGGCGCCAGCAACCGTTATATTTGAAAACTATCTACAATTAAAGCGCACAATATAATATACAAGAAATTGTTCGTACGTGACTAAAGCGATGGAACCCGTTGCAGACACTTTCTCTGACGAACTCCGACTAAACAGAGCAGCAGCTAGCGCCAACGCAAGATGCTACCAAACACATTTGGCCATAAAAGCCACTATGTAGGTGCTTACATACATACGTTACTCCATTCGACAGCCGCTTAGATGTGCAAATCGTTTTTCGCTAGTTTGCAGCGGTGGTTGCCTACTTGCGTTCGCTGTCGTCTGCAATCGTGTTAGTCTGTTCGCTGTTCGGTGAGGATTCGCTTTGGAGTAGCTTCGCTGCAAGCCTGCCATGGCGCCACTACGCCGGTGCTGATGGCAATGAAGGTGGCGGTGGTGGTGGCAGCCCTGGCGGCGACGTGCGACGAAGTCCTGCGAGGAATACAAATTTCAGCGTTGGTCCTTTGGAAAAGGGATGCTGTTAGCAGAGAATGTTAATAGCATTTTCCGTTGACTATACTCTGTTAACTTACTGTTAAGTTGCATGGAAATTATTTAGACATCGTTACAGTTTGAGAGACACTGTGTTGCCAACTATTTGGTATGCTTCCGGTGTTGGTATGGAATTTGAGCCGTTTGAGAGGCGTTAGCTTATGGCTATGGATTTAATGGCTATAAAACTGTTATTAATTTTCAATTTGCTCACTAGCCGATTCCGGTAGTGCATTTTGGTCTAGTTTTGCTTCAAATAAATTTTTTAAAAGCCAGTGCGAAAATTATTATTTCCTTACAAAAAATTCGATTTATTCTAGATGACTCCGAGGGAAAAAGCAAAGAAACTTTCGATTAACACCATTTTTGATCTCTTTATGTGGAATTAACTATTCCCTTTCATTTGAGCATGTCCTATGAATAGACTAATTGTGCCCCTTTATACCCGGACGGCCTCTTTATGCCTCCTTTGGGATTCGAATCGGGGATTGGGGATCTTTGGCTTGCTATACGAATACTATATCTACTACTAAATGTTGTGACAGCAACATTTGGTATGCCCTTAGCTCAATGTTGTATTTTCGAAGTGCATGAGAATCGGGGAAGAAATGAAGCCTGCTTTTCGTTAGCTTATTGAACATCGGAATACGAGGGATATTTTATGCAATACATCCAATAAATAATATAATCTTAATAGTTAAAGAAAAGCGAACTTTATTGTACATATATATTCTACTAATAAATATTATAAATATGAAAGTTTGTATGTTTGTGTGTTTGGATGTTTGCGAAACCATCACGCGACAACGACTGAACAGATTTGCATGAAATGTATGTGAAATCAAATTCATACTCACAGAGAAAAATGGACGTTTTTGAAAAGGTGCGTAGCATCTTCCATACTGACTGAAAGTTTCATATTGCATATCTCTTCAAATATTTGGGCTAAGTACTCAAGCCTGGTTTGGATATATATATCGTCGTTTAAAGTGCAAAACCGCGTATCAGCAAAATGCAAAACCGCGTATGTGAAGTTGTAGAAATTATATCCTAGAGTGTAAAAACACTCATATTTCAAAATGGTTCTCTTTTTTATAAAGCAATCGCATATCTGCCTAGTATATTTCAGGACGAATGGATAAGGACTGAGCCAAGAGCTTGTGTGAGCTTAGTTACGCGGTTTTGCATTTTGTTGATACGCGGTTTTGTACTTTAAACGACGATATGTATGTATGTATGTGAAACTAACCCAATACTCATGAAGAAAAATGAGAGTTATTGGACAAGGTGGTGTGGCAACTCCCATGCAAACTGATTTTTCTGGGTTGCATATCTCTGGAGGTGTTTATTGCAGAGGACTGGAATTTGGCACCAAGATGTGTACATATACAAAATTAATTCCATACTCATGGAGAAAAATTTGCGTTATTCGAAAAGGGGGCGTAGTACCTCCCGTAAAAATTAACTAGTTTATACCGTCTATCTGCTTAAGGTGTTCATGGTAGAGTACGGGGACTTGGTACTGGGGTATGTAAAATCAATTCCAAACTCAGAAGGAAGAAGATTAGGGTTATAAGAAAAAGGGGCGTGGCACTTCCTGTTTGTGGGAGAATTATGGAACTTTGTTATGGAGTTGTGCATACAAAATATATAAATTTCTCATAGAAAAAATGTGGGTTATTAATAAAGGAGGCACATCGCCTCCCATACATACTAAAACTTTCTTAATACATTTCTCCGGAAGGATAGAAAATCGCTGGGAGTATTTTAAATTTGTTATGGAGATTTATTTATAAGTGCCTTACTGACAGAAAAAATGTCATTTAATGCAAAAGGGAGAACCGGCTTCGGCCATATAATCTAAAGCTCTCATGATGCATATACCTCTTGAGGCATTTAGCTACAGTACTGAGAAGTGGTATTTTATCAAGGCCGGGTTACTAAATTTGGGTTGGAAATATTAGAACCCGCCGTGGCACCTCCCAGAAGGTTACCCGTTCCTTGGAACCATTCTACTGTAGGATCAGCTTTAAGTACCTGGGTCAATCAAAACTAAAATGTTTCAGGAAGTGTTTATCAGAATGTCGCAAGGTTATCAAAAGTTAATACGATAAAATTAGATACAGATTTTTTTTTCCAAAACTAAAAAAAATCTGTCTCAATTCAGCCACGTAAACAACCAAATTTAGTATTCCATTACTGCCAATAATAAATAATTTTTAAATACATATATGTGTATCCGAAAGCACTTGATAATGCAACAACAAACACATTAAAAAAAATTAAAACAAAAATTAAAATTTAAATAAAAAAATCGGCAAACTCGATTTGGAAATATCTATGAGTTTATATGCAAATCTTGACATTAATCTTATTCATTAAACGACAACAAAATCGAGTGACGATCAGCCTGCGGCAAAGCAAAATTGCGGGATAGGAAAAGAGGAGAGTAGCTAACAAGAAAAATGGAGACAGTAAGTACTTGCATTACCTATATGAATATACATATATGTATATTATTATGTACATAAGTGTAAATATGTATACACATATGTATGTATGTATGTATATCCATACAGTTGCCAATAAGTATATTTCTGTGCATGCAATGATTGCATTTGCACGCAAAATGCGTGACAGCCTAATAGCAACGAATAGACGGCGCACACGCGCAATGCGTTACGAGCTGCATGCCGGTGATGTTTTTTATTTATTTTTTTTGTTGGTTGTGTGAACAAAAAATTATTTAGCAAACAGACTAGCGGACTTGATTTTTAAACATGGCAGCACATATTCACCAAATATTGTTTACATTGTTCGTCGAAAATGCAAAATAAATCTCTGCTGTGGCAGCGACACAAAAACGCAAAAAAGGGAAACTAAATCCTCAAGCCGCCACAACATACCAATTGCCGGGGGGTAGCAGCAGCCACTCCAACTGCCACCAGGCGACAGCTTTGTGCGTACATAATACATAATTTAATTTAGCTTCGCTTGAAGTTGGCCATAAAGCATTTTAAAGGCATGGCGCATAACCAGTGGGCAAGTCAAACCGGCCAATCAAGCAAGTGACCGCTCGCGTCCATTCTGGCGGACATTTCGAAAGGTAGTCGATAAATGCATTTGCCATTTTTTGTTTGTTGTCGTGGCTCCATGACCACTGCCTTCCAGCTGATTAGATTTAGAAGCAAAACCATTGATTAAAAGGAACATTTTTATGAAAGCTTTTCTTCTTTAAAGAAATACTAAGTAGGAGAAAGGAATCAAATATGCGGAAAATACAGAATATCGTTGAATCGTTAATGGCAGTATGCCTCTTTGTCATTACATCTCCTAAAAGGCTCAGCCTACCAACACTTCGCTGTTAAAAGCCTCGTAACTAATATTTAAAAAAAAATGAAGATGAGGTGTAGGTATTTAACAAGAAAAATTACCAGACAGTAATGCATTGAGTAGTCTGCTGTCCTATCTGCTCAAGGAAGCAAATACCTTGTTAGACCTTCTGGCCTCTTCAGAGCCGGATTAAGAATGTGGGGGCCCGAGGCTGTTATACATGTGGGGCCCCTTTTTGAGTTAATTATTACATACAATTAAGGAGAAATTATATTTTCATATTAACAGTGACTATCGTTAATTATTGACTTTTTACCACGTATTTTCTTTTTAAAATTTCGCCTGAATTCCTTTGCACTTGCCGCTTATGTTGCACGCAGTATCAAAAGAATGACCCCGGCAGTCTCGTTTATGAACAGAGATGGAATAGTATGAATATTTTGTCATTTTTATCCAACTTATTATTTCTTCCAGCGTCCCACGCAAATTTACATTATTGGGTGAGTCGAAAAGTTTTTTTTTTTGTTCTTTCGTCATCACATGTGGGCGTCTCCAAAATGGGGAGGCCCTGTCGGCCCTGCCCTTAATCCGGCACTGAGCCTCTTGAGTGAATCGAAATGTTTGGTCCTTTTTAAGAATTTTCACAACCCAAGGGTTCAGTTTCAATACAGTACTCTTTAAGATTAGCCCTTTTTAACCGACTTCCTAAAAAGGAGGAGGTTATCAGCTCGTCGGAATATTTTTTTTCTTTTTATGTATGTTACCGCATAACTGTGGACCACGTCAACCGATTCTTCTTGCATCGGAAAGGCTGAAAGTTAGTACTACGATTTGGTTACTTTTGTGCGAATTTCGTTAAATACAACTTAAAAATCGATTTTTTTTTTTGTGGATATTATTAAAATTAGAAACAACCAGCCATTTTATTCTACGAGCTTAGATCGAAACAATTCAACTATTATTTGAGAATTTTTACAAGCGTCAAATTACTCGCTCATAATTTCATTCATTTAAGATGAAATGATTTTTTTAAGCTTAAACTTAAAACATAATGCGTACAAAATAAATTTTGAGTTTTTTTTTTTTAATAATTTAATAAATAAAAGTATTGCTACGTCGGAATTTCGAATATGCCCTCAATAGCCTCAACTAGGTTCCCACCGCATTGCTGTTCATTTGAACCGCTTCATCAGCACCGTTACCAGTGGCAGCAGCACTAGCGCGACGTAGGGCGAGAAGGCGCTGGCGTTTTGATGTAGGACGAAGTCGTTTCGTGGCCGCAGCGATCGGAGGAATCATCGTAGTCCTCGTAGAAGCAAGAGCACGAAATGACACGCTTACCGTAAACTGTAAAGAAAAATAGGCAAAATGTAAAGAAATGTAGAATAAAATTGTATGGATTAAAAAAAAACAATTAATTAAAAACGATTTGATTGAAGTTTTTATTAGTGGTTGGTAAAAAAAAAGAAAAATCGACCCTCGCATCGGCTAAATTTTCTGAGGGGTTAGTTTTTCCCATTCAAGTAATACACATTTGGGTTGTTAACGCTTGCCTGGTTATCAGGTTATC